AAGGCTGATTTCCACACTGGTCCTCCACTTGCCGCTTCCCGATCACGTGCAGGCTGCTGCCGCCCTTGCAAGCCATAGAAATCGCCGTCGAGCACCAGAGAATCCTCCTCTCGAGAGAGAGCTGCCGGCTTGGATCTGCCGCTTGTTGTAGTACACATCGCTCCGTCGTCGCGGCCCAACGAGAATCCATAAGTTGGTGGCTCGGTGGCCGCCAGGTGTCCTGGTCCGACAGTCCACCAAAAAATGTCTTCTCGTCGTCCTCAGTGCAGTATGTCTGTAAGTCGGACATTCCCTGACGTCCAAAACCAGCGTTTCTACTCGACGGTTGGCCCGAATCGCCCGGTAGAAAAAAATGTTTAGATTATACCTAGTTATTATGTTATTTATGTTTTAGATTAATAAAGAAAAACGTATAAATTAATATTGATGATGTTATTATTATTTTTTTTTTTTTTTATATTATCATTTATAACTAAAATAACTAATATGGCTATAATGTACACCGGCACACCGTTAATAATATTATATAGTTTGTACAGACCCAATAAACGTGAAGCGAGTAGGTATGTGAAATTGTTTTCAAGAAATATCGATAGATGTTTTTATACACCCTCGTGCATTGTACAACATAAACAATAACAAAAGAGTCAGGAATTTGTGAAATACTTTCAAAAGTTTATCTTAAATTGTTTTAATTTGAAAATGTATATCATTCGAATCTAATTTATATGGAAATAGTGTATAAAGTAAAGTAAGAACACTATAAAGTCTATAATTTAGTTTTGGGTTGGAAAAAATTAAAAAATTAAGTTGTAGGTATAAACAAATTAACTTTTAACTTAATTGTGTCAACCTATAGTTAAATTAACTTTCAACTTTGAATTTTTTGTCATTGTTGCATATTAACTTAACTTAACTGTGTTAAAAAAAAATCATTAACTTGCCCAGTCTTGAATAATTCTGATTCGCAGCAGTACATTAACAGGTAGGAAATCTACCGGCGCGGCGGTAGATCGAGGACCCATTGCTGTTTTACGTAAGTGTATGATTTAACTCTTAAGTATCAAAGTTATACCAAGTTTGTCGTTTTTACTTAATTCCACCTACCGTGGATTAATATAATCAATTAATACAAAATCCTAACCTAAAATAAACGTACTAAAATCCGATGAATAAACAAACCAAATTTAACAATATTTAATTTGGCCCATCTTCTTCCCAGCGGTTTAATCCACCCACAAACATTCATTTTTATTTATAATATACTTTATATTGACAAAAAATATTAATAAAAATCAACAAACATGCCCGATAGCAACCAATATATAATACGCAATATTATTATTTTAATCTGCAACAATAAACTACATTGTTTATTATTTAGTTAATTCTTTTCTGGACAGATGGCTCCACTATATTGTATTTTTGACATCCAGATTTCCTACATTTTCGGTGGATTTTCCTAAAATCAAGAAGATCTGATAAGTAGTTCCAGAGTTTAAACTGTAGAGAGATTTTAATTTCACATTTATTTGGATAGATACCTACTATGTTTATTGTTAAGGGCAAGGTCTCAATCTTTTAAAGTGAAAGAAAATAAGATTATTTTCTAATAATAAGTAATAACCATATGTTTATAATGTATTACCATATGTACCAAAAATATTTTATGGTGGGAGGGGGGTGCGTAGCTGCTTAAATTAAAACATAATACGTAAAAGCTTAAAGCAATAAAAAGTATTCTGAGCACAGGGCCTATAATAATGATGAGTGTATTAGTGAAGTCTTTGTCCTGGGTCCTGTCCAGTGACTAAATGTCAAATCAGTACAAACTAAAAAACTGGTTTTCAATAAGAACATTTTTTAAAATGTAGCGAAAAAGTAGCGCTCTACATCTGACAATAGCACACGAGGAGCACATGAAAATCCGAAAAATGTTTGTCCTAATCGCATATTTCAGTCGAAAATAATTTTATTTGACATATATTTTAGCAGAATGATATCTTCCAAATTTGTACTGCATATTATGATGTTTTATAGTAACTTTACTAGATAACTTATGTTCATAAAAAGCAACTATTTAAATAATTTATAATTTAATTAGGAGAACATGAGAGTAAAAATATAGATTCACGAATAAAAGAATTTTTATTTATTTCCTTGAAATCAGTCTCATTAAATTATTTTTCAATTATTTTATCAGAAATGTTTTTGCGTACATTACAAAAATAAATTATTAATTTAATTTACGATTTCCTTTTCATCATATAAGAAAGTAGGCTTATTACTTTTAACACAATTAATATTCCAACCACTACGATAATTTTATTATTTCCAGTAGCTTCATTAGTATTGAACTCCAAGTTATTATCCTTATAAGTGCAAAAAGTAGTCTTAAACCGCAATTGAATATATAGGACGTATTGGTATACGTTTTTAAAAATATTTCTTATAAATAAAATATTTAACAATATTATATTAATCATAATATTATCATAAATTATAATTATACAATTTTATTTTATAGGTGGATATTATTTTACTGCTCGTTCCGATCTGTTGCTGTGCGACGTTACACAATTTTATGAGAATATCGTACCAACAGGACACAAACGAAAACGGTGAGCAATAAACGAATACTTGTACCTATCTAAAAATATTATGCTCACAATTTATTATTTTTAAGTGGGATGCAACGTGGCATATTTTAAGGAGTACTATTTAGGCAATTAATGTGACATATAAATGAATACTGTATCTAAGTGTCAGTAGTAACATTAGTGTGAGTAATCTCTTGTCGTTTCCGAGAATCGCTGTCACGTCGAGTCGGGCAACCGCGCCGGAAGTAATACTCACCAGTGCACGCACATGTCAATACATCTACTATAAATAGTTACTACTAAAAGCGGTAGTAAATAAATCATACTTCCCGAAGTACGATTGTAATTTCGAAAAAATGGATGAATTCATAAACTTCTAGACTATGTTTCTTAGAAATCACTTTTTTTGTTTAAAATCAGATGTGTTCAAAATAAATACAAATGTAATGCAATTATTTCATTCGATTTCTAAAAAAAAAATGGTTATTTTAAATTGAAAATTGAAAATCGACTTCTCATGTAGCCTAGATATTTTATCAATGAATTCAAACATGTATAAAAAATTTAAATCGGATATTCCAAAGTATGTGTAATTTACCACCACTATTATTGGTCTAAAACGTATATGAAAAAGACGTGCGCTGCAATCCCCTAAATGTATAAACAATTAAAATTACATCCTTGTATAACATAATATTTAACAATCATTACTATTTAGGTGAAGTGCCTAGTACATTTCTCTACGAATTTTCATTTATCGAGTCAATGAGAACATTGTTGAAATTCGACAAAGACAATAAATTAAATTTTTTTTATACCACCAAAGTAATGACGATGCTTCTTGTTATGTTTGGATATAAATTGTTTGCTCTGGTGTCGAATCCTATAATTAATCCAAAGTTCATGTAAAATGTGAGTTGAGAAATATATTTAAGAATATTATAATATAATACCATACAAACTATGGCATAGAGGATATTATAGAGTATAATTATAGATACGCCCTAATTGAAATAATATGATAAGGAAATGGGAACAAAAAACTGTAAGCAAACTATAGAAAATATTTTATCATATTATGTGAACTATAATACAATATTTACTGTATTTTAATTATATTAATTTTAATACATGGCTACTATAATATTGACATAATAATATGTGATATTTTAGGGACTAGGAAGTAGAAAGTAAGAACAACAAGTCGACACTAAGTCGTACATAATTTATTTTTTTTACTTACCCTTATTATTTATAACTATCAATATATAATATTATATCCATATTACGCCCTGGCTTTATTTTACCAATGCTATAGCAGCAGATACTGTCAAGTGTGAGGTTACGTTGTTTTATGCGCATTGTTCAAGTTAATATTTTACTTAGGTGCATTTAATTAAAATTAGTAACAATACAATTTTATCCTGTTTATATAAATGTATATTATAATTAATTAAATTATGTTAACAATCACAGATATACCTCAATGGACCAGCTTTTATAGTGACTGGTTTGAACGCCGTTGGCCTATTTTTTTTCATAATCGGTTTCATCATGTACACAAACCTTTCTAGATAATTTCGAAAAAAAAAGGATGAAGCAGTTTGGAAGACACTCTCGAAGCCAATCATCGAGCTAATAATAAGGTATAATAATATAAACGCTTTTTATATTTTATGCAAACGATTTCCGTCAATTTTAACTATTGTAAATATTTTATAAGAATCAACATAAGTGTTTTATTTATTTATTTTTTTTTAGAGTTTATCTAAAAATACTTGAAATTTTTGATTTTGACATCCCAAAAGTACCAACTGGCTTCACTTTTATATTAGAAAAAATGCTGATTTTGAAAATCCGAGCATTTTTTCTATACAAAATGTTACTGAAAGAAAAAAACATACATCACTGTAAAATCAATACATTTATTCTGTCCACTCAGAATCTAAAATTTATTGATATAAAAATAACATATCTAGTATAGATAATACAACATATTTTTTATAATTGTATTATATTACTATTAAGAACACGTTTTTCATGCATGTTCACCATGTGTCATCTGCATCTTACAACTAATGCATCATAATAATATTGCAAATTTTACTTTAAGATGATTGTTTTGTATATTATAGCTGATAGATCATAACTTGCCTCAAATTTAAAACAGATTACAATGACAATAATAATTTAAATATTTAAATTTTATAATAGATAGGTACTAGGGACGCAATAGTTGTACACTGCAAAGAATGCTACAGTGCTAGTCAATAATAGTATTGCTGCTGTACACCTGTACCTACCGATACATAACAACATTACTTTATTAACTCTATCATCATATATTATGATATAATTGCTAACATTTCATAATTGACATACTACCTATTATAAGATAGTTTAGTCTTTTTTAACAGTTTTACTGCTGCAGGTAGCTGGTTTTTTGATCGGTGTTCCATTCTTGAACGAGCTTATAATTTTCCTAAAAATATATAAAAAAAGAAAGATTATTAAATTATTATTATTATACTCATAGGAATAGGTACCCATTTACTCTACATATACATTTAATAATCAAGTATTTGACGACTGAAATATAATTTATACAGACTGTAATTGACCCTTAATTTCTTAAAACTATGTGAAGTACCTATACAATTTCCTGGTTTTTCTGTATAATAGGTACGGTGAGCTAAAATAATTAAAATTTGATAAATACTATACTAAAAAACATTGTAAAAAAAAATTAAAGTTAATAATAACAATATAGGCCTACCACCTACAGCCCACAGATAGGTGCTTGAGATAGCACCTAGCGATAGCATACCGATGGACGATGGTACTAAAATAGTTATTATAGGTATTATATATATGTATAGAAATCGGCAGTATTTTGATTTCTAAATCAGTAAACTCTTAAATCGTCAAGTACGTATAGTCGAAAAATAAGGAATTCTACTTCCCCGTATTTGTATACTAACACTATTGTGGAGTTAATAGTCATTGATCAAATAATAAATATCCACTTATATTTTAAATTGTTTATAACATATAGTAAACTATGAATAGCGTCATCCTCTGTAATTACCGATTTAGAAATCAAAATACTGCTGACTGCCGATGACCCGTTCTCGTTTTTATTATTAAAATTATAACATAAGAAAATCTAGGAAAACAGTTTTTAACAAGTAGCATAATTTTTGACAGCTCTCCGTTATTAAGAAAATGCCGACTGATAGTTACGAAAAATTCAAAGGGCGGTGTGACGACCCACCATACCCCCATTGCCTCCGGCCCTGCATCAGACACAATTCAGAAGTCAATCAATCATCATCCCGAGACTGTGCTATTCACGACGACCATACAATGTACCACGTCGGCGCAGAACAATGCTGCAATCAACATAGGTACATAGCGACGTCAACGCCACCCCCATCGAAACTACGTGCTACCGAACAGTTATTCTTAATCTGAAATTAATCTTTCTCCGCGAAGTTAACTTAACTATTGAGTCTGTCTTAACACCAGGTGTGGGTTCACTTTTGATATATTCGCTCTACAATCCTACCATGACAATACTGTTCTTTCAATTCTTTATAAACCTAATGATCCTTCAATAATGTTAAGCTATGTAGGGAGGATATCCATATCCGAACTCTACACTCCCAAAAACCTAATCCAAATTACAAGTACCACGTAAAATGCATCTCAACCTATAAGAATCTACATAAACTCCATTTCAATGACTGTTTGTCAATTCATTGTCTCTCCTAGACGTTGGGTTGCCAAAATATATTTGCACTTTAGATCTCGAGCGAAGGACCGGACAGACTTATGCGATGTGCCGAAAGTACTTTTCTCTTAAGCGACTAAATCTCAAGTATATAAGTAACTGAAATAAGTGTTGTATAAATATCAATTAAAAACAAAATCCATTTCAAGTGCTGCTTGAAGTAGGCGGATAAATACCATAATAAAATATAATATGCATAAATCCGTGATATTAGCAAACAAATAATTATAAAATTGTAAAGACACACATATTTCAGGAAAATACTGTTTCCAAATAAAACATAATATAATATAAAAATACTAATCAATATTATAATTCAAAGCACTCCTAATCTTTACATGCTGTCAAATCCTTTCTGTCTTTATAATATATTATCACAAATACAAAGAGTCGACAGTGCATAAGCAAAATGAACTCATAACTGGTATAAGATATTATAATATAACTCGTAAATAATAGTTACGTGCACCGATCCACACCAACCAGAGATACATCCATTCTAACAAGGATCAACGAGTACTTTTCGCACCTACACGAGGTAAGTGAACGCACATATATTTTACACTCTAAGACAAATTATCTATTCCGTACTCAAATAATAATATTCTGTAGTACAATAAAAATAATGCAATAAAAGTGCCGGTACCATCCGTATTTTCCATTTCCCCTGGAATTTGCCGCCCAACTCTGCACTTCCCCTACTTTCCATCTCTCTATTACTTTTATCTCACTACATTATTATTATAATTGTGACAAACTCATTATTTAAGATTGGCTTGCCAAAGTGCCATAATATAGAACGGCGTATTAGAATTAGAGTACATATACCTACTGCAGGTTTGTTTGGAAGTGTAGATAAGATACGTCTTCTTCAGGTGTTATTATAAAATAATATTAGGACAAACACATTTAAACTTAAATTAAAACACAAATGCCATTATGTAACATACATTACACCAGACCCACCAGAGGAAAATTTGACTTTCCGGGAAAACTGTTAGAGCAGGAATTGTAAAAACCTAGTCAGAAATTCACAGGAATTGAGTACTAATTATTGGCACAAAAAAAATTTGTGCAAAGGCAAATTTGGGTGGGGGTGGGGTAACGTACGGCATCGTATCTTACATTCTTAATATTTTGGACGATCGATTACTTGCAAAGTTAAAAAAAAAAACTAAAATAAATAATTTATTATAATTATTATAATAACTCACCTCTGATAAAACAGTTTATTAGTCAATTTTACAAACGGCTCATGAACAACCAAATATAAGATGATGGCCATCAGATAACATATGAATACATCATAGAAATAAGAGTCAAACTGTAAACCAATAAAATCGAAAACGATTTAAATTATTAAGTTTCATATCAATAATAATATTATGATATTCTTTATTAGTTATCAGTTTTTAACGGAAGACGTGACATTACAATTAATATTTTTATTTTTAAAACGGACGATTTAAAGTCTTGGATATAGAAACATAATAATATTTATAGTTTTTGATTCAGAAAAAAACATTTTAAAGGGAATGGTGGCGGTGATTTAATAAGGGGTCGCGTATAGGCAATTCGATGTCTTATTCTCGTTCCGCAGTGTGGTTGGGTGCGAAGTAAATGATCTTTAGTGTGCATATAAGTTCGGAATTGGTCATTTGCCACTCTCGCAAGCACACGCACATGTCAATAAATCGAGAAAAACGAAATATATTCTTCTATGCATCACCTATAAAAACTACCAAAAGCGGTAGTAAATTAAACATACTTCCTGAAGTTTGGTTGTAATTTCCAAAAAAGGGTTGAATTCGTAAGCTCCTAGACTATGCTTTGTAGGAACGACTTTTTTGATATAAAAAACAAAAAGCCCAAAATAAATTCAAATGTAATGCAATTATTTCATGAGATTTTTTAAAAAAATATCAAAATGTTATGGTCCTTTAAAATCGAAAATTGAAAAATCGACTTCCTAGAAAGCCTAGTTATTTTGCCAAAGAATTTATACTTAATATATTAAAAATTAAAATCGGAAATTTCTGATGTATGTGTAAATTTACCACCGCTTATTGGTCTAAAACGTACGAAAAATACGTGTAATGCGATCCCCTTAAAATTCAATATTTCAGTTAAAATAAAGTTTATCAACAATTAGGTTAAAAGTTTTATAACACACATTTAGTGCTAGTAAAGTTATCTATAAGCTGATCTACATCAATATCAGACTCACAAAAAATAATCATAAATTTTTCGAAATGATCCTAAGAAATTGATGTTCTCAATCGATTTTTAATTTTTAGAATGTTGTTAATATAGAGTATAAGCGATTTAAATTTTTAGGGAAAATGCTCTGTAATCCAGAATTTTGGGTTTTGAGATCATTTTAGATTTTGCCCAAAGATAAATAATCACACATAATTATTACACTGTCATAGAAATTTGTTTAGGTATATTATACAACGACACTATATAATATGGTAATAATAGTAATGTAATAGAGTAACGCTATAATAATGCATTACCTAAGTAATACTTAACTGGTACGTGTGCAAGTACCTAGTAGGTACCTACTTACTTTAGTATTAATAACCTTGGATATTTTTTTATCTACCCACCCTGCTAACCACCTACCCAACCCCACCAGTATAGGTGGTTCAAATGCACCTAAGCGTCGCTGGACGTTTATGTGACATATACCCATAGACCTTATACTTATAGACGAGAAATGAGTGTATGGAAAACATAGCAATATATAGAGGGCTTTTTAGAGGACAATATAATATATGAAACTTTACTCATATGCATGGTAGTGAGGTTTAGTACAATAAGATAATATTATAATTTATAGATAATTGTATTTTATGGTCAAGACAGGATTCATCACTGCGTCTTGTTTCTGCTTCTCGTAATGCTGTTGTTATACACAGTTCATGTAATATTGTCTATTAGTATAAGGTATATGGAGTATGCATGGACATACCACTATGAAACCGTATAATACTCTTAATATTAGTCTTACCTACCACATATCTTGAGGACAGATGAACTGGTAACCTCTGCGAACTCTGAGATGTTTGCATAACAGTGATGTTCACCAACAAAATGTGGTATGAGAGTTTTCCCAAAATCGCAACAAATCTATTGTTAAACAAATTGTCCAGTAAACCTGTAAAAACATTTGAAGTGGTGGTATTATATTAATAGCGGTAAAATACGATTGTTGGTTGCACGGTCGAGAACGCTCAATTTTTTTTCTCTGCAACGTCGGCAAATTTAATCGAACAGTAATTTGAGCACGATAAGTAGGAAGACTCCACTCCCTGGGACACCTTAAAAACATGATTTTACTCACCGTAGCCAGACGTGAAATAACTTGTGGTAATCCATATACCCGCTACTGCCCACGTACAATGACAGATAGTTGAGTACAAGGCGTGTTCCAATGGATAATAAGGTCTATTTCTCTCATAGAATACAGCGCCGTAACATTGAACCCATAAAGTAAACGTACAAATGGAAAATAATCCACCGTGAACCACCGTCTGCATGCACGACACACAAATAAAACATCAACGGGTATCATAATCTAAGTTATAAGTATGATCCAAAACATTTGCCAATAAATGTTTGGGAATACACGATAACATTCTCTAGGTATACTATAATAATTACTTGTGAAAATTTCACTTTTTTTTCCTTCATTTTTTCCACTACAAAGCTCATGGCTAAGCCTACAAAGAATGGCGTGGCACGCATGTAACTTGGTCGGTACGACTCATTTAACGATAAAATATTTCTCATACTCACTATGTATCTGTGAACAATATAATATTATACTGTATCATATTATGTATTATTTTCATACCGTATTTTTGTATACAGATTTATAATTCTATAATAATAATATTAGCTGTTGTTTAACCAAAGCCTATCCTTAAAAATTTGTTTTAACGGATTTTTGATATTTGGTATAATATAAAATGCACCTGCGATACATTGTACGTTCGCAATTTATACTTATGACGAGTTACTAAACAATTTTCGACGAAATTAATTATGTGATTCTGATGTAACTCAAAAAGTAGTCTTCATCGATATTTTAAAGACATGATATAATTTTCAAAAGAATTACTTAAATTCAAACTTTCAAAAAATTCTTGAACATTTGCAAAATATTTTATACTTAAAGTTACATACATTTCGAATTAGTTAAATTTTTCTATCAATTTGTTCTTATTTTAGATCATTTTTATTTTAGTTCATTATTTTGTTTTGATTCAAAACAATATATTTAGTGTAAATAGTGTTATAACTATAATGACTATTGAAACAATACACTATTGCTTTAATAAAAATTTTCAAAATAATTGCAGGGATCTATGTTGCCATGTTGGTTGTAATAAAATAATAATAATGACAATAGTAATAACGTCATTCATTCGTTGCAGTGGTTTCACTTAATATTGTGATTGATAACTGCACGACTCTACTATAAAAAGATTATAATATATATGTGTTGTTCGAATATAATTTATATAATATAGGTATTGTAATAAACGCTTTAAAAAATTCAGAATAATAGTTCGACCAGCACTGAGAATATGTACAAAAAATCTCAGTTATCCGAATTCACTGCTTGTGCGTTTAAATCTTCTTTCAATGACTAAAATACTTAACATACGGTATAATAATGCTATCCAATCCTTCTCTTCCCGTCAAAAGAGTGATTATGAACGGCACGGATATCGACAAACCAATTATAGTGCCAAGCAATGTGATTCCATATTTTGGGTTTTTCGTGTAAAGGTAAACGACAATAACTCCGATTACGAAAAACTGGATATCACACGATAAGTACCAACTCAATATGAGGCACTGGAAAAAAAAATAAATAGAAATTAGTTTATACAATTGTCAATTATGTTTAAAGCCAGTAATCAACAAATTTGCATCAAGACACTATCGGACGTTGGTTGTATGTATTTTAATTTCAAAAACGGATTTCAATTAAATTACTTTAACCTTACGTTACGCGCACGTTTCTGTCTTAAATACCGGTAGTCTGGTTCAAAATCTTTAAATATATATGCTGGGTGATTCTTTTATCAAACACTCATTATTTCAAAAAGTGTAAATTTTTTTGAAAATATTTTTTTACATAGTTTTAAGTCGCTTATAAAACAACATTTTTATTTAAAAATTATATTTTTAAATATTATTTATCCTTATAATTTTTTAATTTTTTTACTTTTTTGAATAACAACATAGGGTTTTAATTTTATATTCTAAAGTAGAATATTTTTCTTAGTATTTTGATACATTAAAATCGAATTTGAGGCGAGTAGTTTACGAGTTATAAGTATTTAAAGTTTGATGAGCGGTGAAGTGGACAAACATTTCGCGGGGTAACCCCGATCCACTCCACTCCGCTCGTCTAAACTTTAAATACTGATAACTCGTAAACTACTCGCCTCAAATTCGATTTTAATGTATCAAAATACTAAGAAAAATATTCTACTTTAGAATATAAAATTAAAACCCTATGTTGTCATTTAAAAAAGTAAAAAAATTAAAAAATTATAAGGATAAATAATATTTAAAAATATAATTTTTAAATAAAAATGTTGTTTTATAAGCGACTTAAAACTATGTAAAAAAATATTTTCAAAAAAATTTACACTTTTTGAAATAATGAGTGTTGTTTGATAAAAGAATCACCCAGTACCTATATATATTTTTTATATACTAGCTGATCCCTTGCACTTCGTTGCCCGGCAACCAATAATTATTATTTTAATATTTTAAAAACCATGGCAACCATTTATAAACCAAACGCCACTTTTTTTTTACCAAATGATCATAGAGAGACATACATTCATTCATTCATTCAAAAGAACTGGCCTTTTTAGGGTTCCGTACGATAAGACAGGACCCTATTACTAAGGATCCGCTGTCCGTCCGTCACCAAGCTGTAACTCATGAACCATGAAAGTTAGAAAGTTGAAATTCTCACAGATTACGTATTTCCGTAACAACAAATTCTAAAGATCCTATAATATAATTTAATATAAGCAATGTTGCCAACATGTTTATGGATGATGGTACGGAACATTTCGTGCCCGAGTCCACTCGCACTTGGCCGGTTTTTTTTGTTTCAATATTCTGACCACACTATTGATTTTTTTTTTTTTGATAGTCGTTTCAAATATTTTCCTGAGTGATCTATTATTTCCAATTTTATTGTTACTTAAGAAAATGAAAATCCTCCTGTTTTTTAAGAAGCCATGATTTTATTCGTCATTTCAGTAACTGAAGTGTAATCCGTTTGTATTTATGAAATATACCTTTAATTTTAGTTTGCGAGAAATGTACAATGTTACTACGGTATTGTGGACTGTATATGATGGTCTACTCAAACAACAACTCGTAGGTAGATTAATGTAAAGTGCCGGGTGACGGCCTACTATTGGTAAAAGCAAGAAAATAAATATCGTGACACAAATGTGCCGGCCGGCGTGGGGCTCTTAACATTCTAATTTACAAATATAATATTAACCTAATAAATCAAATAATAATAATAAATGAATAAACCGTGATAGCCGGACGCTGAACGAAGGTGACGAGTGACGGTAATGTTACTGGTGACGGTGACTGGTGATGGTGATTGGTGAAGTGGAGTGACGGTGATTGACGGTAACAGAACAAAGAAAACACAACAAATCGGAACATAAACAAAACCACGGTTCAAGGTAGCAAATTACGCACAGCAACGTATAGCGGCTACGCACGCACAGTCCGGTGGCGGAACATGAACTAAACGTCGTCTGCGGTATAGCTTAGGTACGGTGTGTTCGTTGCGCTATCACCCGCTTACGTAAATGCCTGAACATACAATGTACATGAACTGAAGATTATATAATGATTTACGCACTCAGTCAAAAATAATGCCTGCCCAAAATTATAACCTCCCAATTAATATACATTTTATTAGATATAAATAGTTTTAATATTAACTACCTACACAAGAGTTGTATGGAAAACACCGATAGCTTTATTACTAGAAATAGCTGAATTATTGTATAAATTGTTTTATCGAATCAAATGTATCTTCGACTTTTACTTTACTATAACAAATAGTTAAAATTTAGAAAGTGTCTTTATGACTATCTGTTATCGAGATACGTCAATAAATCAATTCTGAATTAGTTAAAATGTAGGTAGAATCTTTATGACTATAAAATATTATCGAAATACCCCAATAAATCGCAGTACCTCATTTTGGGTGTATTAATTTTTTCCCGGGTGAAGTCGGGTGATACAGCTAGTAATATATTATAATATAAAACGTTTCTTGTCTAAATATGAATCAACGTGAATTATCGTGGATTCAAATACATCATATTACCTGATATTTGACGTCAACGAAATTGCTTATGAACAACAGGTTGGTCCACCAATAGTTTTTACATATCTCGGCTTCTTCCCACGAATTATTTGGCCATAGTGGGCCGTCTCCGAGGTGGGGTACAAAATGCGCCGTGATCGCCATCATCGCACAATAGGACGGTATTATTCTAAAGCGAAATGAAAATTATTAAGAATAGACTAAATAATATAATAAATTATTGCTATGTTGTCGATGGCGTATTAGATTCTGAGCGGAGCGAAAGAATGTATTGATTTTACAACGATTTGATTTTTTTTTGATATTTTGTTATAATCCTATAATATACTTACTTGAAATGGTTATCAAATGTTAAAATGACCATTTCCCATGGTAATATTTTCAAACAATTTTGACTCTTTTTGAGTTATTTATAGCCATAAGACATTTGTAAAATGTTTTAAATTATTTTTCAGTTAGAAATTCATAAAAGTTTTTCTTATCATAGATTAAAAGTTTTTCTAAGATTAAAAATGTTAACAGAAGGTTTCATTTGAGTTTTCTATCTATGACAAAAAAAAGTTTACTTAAACTGAACATTAATTTATTAAAGCTTTTGAAGTTATAATTTTTACGCTATTTGATATTTAGCTGTAAATTATTGATCAATTTTTGATATTTTGTTTTATTTCCAAAACGAAAGATCGTAGATGCTTGAAATGTTCACCAAATATGAATATTAGCATTATTAATATAGATTATAAATGCTTTTTATGCTTCTAATCATTTTTTCAAATTTTGTGAATTTTTTTTCAGTTACTAATTCATAAAAAGTTTTTCTATTCATAGATAAGATAAGAAATTTTATAGGAGGTTCCCAACAAGATTTTCTACCAATATCAATATGAAAAAAGGAGCTCTGCTGTACAGTAGGTTGCAAGTGGGTCACTGTATAATGGATAGTATTAAATTTGAATTCAATGATATAATATCATTGTATATAAGAAAAACGATTCTGAGCGGAGACGGTATGTCAGTCTAGGTATAAGGCATATTATATACTGATCTATGGTATTAAAAAAAATTGACCTATTATAGGTACCTATAATAAATTTAAAATTAATCATATCACAATATCCATTAGGTACTAGTATAACGTGTTATACATGAACAACAAACCCTGATACTATCATAGATATATAATAGTGTACTTTAGAAATTTCAAGTATCCACGAATAATATTATACAACCACAACGAAATAACTAAAATAGTTATTCTAGGTTTTTTTTATGTAATTTCATCCAAATTTGAACTAAATATGACTATAAAAATAAACTGTGCGTATGTATTTTTTAGGTTTTTTGGTAACAGAATAACTATTTATGTGGAATCTTGTTTTGAATTTGCAATCCTTAGCTATAAAAACTGAACATTTTATAATTTATTAATTACAGTGGTTGATCATTTTCGAGATTTTGATAAATTTTGTCAAAATTCGATCTTTAAATGCTTATAAAAAAAAACTGTACCTATGTATTTTTAATATTTTTCAATTGCTATAGTAACAATATATCAGGAGCCTTGTATTAATTTTTTACACTTTTTGGCCCAACAGATAAACTTTATTGATATTTTTAGAAAAAAAACTAAAAAAAAAATGGAAAATGAAAATGTCCGTAAACAGCTCAAAAAGAGTCAAAATATTTTCAAAATTGTATGGTGTATAGTAAATGCTAATATAAATATTCAGTGAAATTTTCATGTATCTACAGTTATTCGTTTTTGAATTACATCAAAATAAGGAAATCGCTACATGAGAAATCGAGTGAATATATCCAATGTTGTTAAAATTTGAATTTCAAACGCTCATAAAAATTTAATTTTCGTGATTTTTCCATATTTTGTCAATTTTTGAACTTTAAATGCTTATAAAAAAAAATTGTGACTAAGGATTTTTATTTTTTATTCATCTGCCTTAGAAACAATATACTAGGAGCCTTCTATTAAATTTTCAAGCTTTCGCAACCAACAAATAAAATTGTATTGATAATTTTAGAAAAAAAACTAAAAAAATATGGAAAATGAAAATGTCCCTAAACAGTTCAAAATAAATCAAAATATTTTGAAAATGTTATCGTGTATAGAAAATGCAAATATAAACAACCAGTGAAAATCTCATGTATCTACGGTGATTTGTTTTAAAATTACACGAAAAACCAAAATCGATTTTCTCGATAACAGATTTTGAGTAAAAATTCCCGATTTTCCTTAATTTTTCTTTTGTTTTTCACTGCGCTTTTGAAAAATAACTGGGAAATTTGTACTTTTGACCCCCCAAAGTATCAACTAGACTCACTTTTCTACCAGAAAAGATACTGTTGAAGAAAGTCCAAGCACTTTTACTGTCCTAAAAGGTGATGACAGTCACAAAAAAAAAAAAATTTTAAAATATTTAAAAAAAAACACACATCATTATAAAACCAATACATTCATCGTTTCACTCAGAATTTAAAATACCGGAATATCACGGTATTATAGCAATAAAGTTTCTATAAAAGATTGTTTACTATTAAATTTTATTATTTGTTCATACTATAACACCTTATTATTCGCTGGATGATTGGCATCGATAGAGTGTCTTCCAAACTGATTCATTCTTTGATTTTCGAAATTCTCGAGAAAGGTTTGTATACATGATGAAACCGCTTACGAAGAAAAATGGATCAACGATGTTCGAACCAGTCAACAGGATAGCTGGTCCGTTGAGGTATATCTTTGATTGTTAACATAATTTATTTAATATTATAATATACACAATATAAAATTTTAATTTTATAAATTTAAATTGAATTTATGTAATATATGTTTTTGAACAAGAAGCATAAAACAATATATGTATCTACTGCTTGTTTCAGAAAAATAAGACCGGGACTTATCAATACAATATATATTATAATATTGTTATTCGCAATAAATTTCTCAACTTACATTTTCCATATACTTGGGATTACTTATGGGATTCGACATAAAAGTAAATATCTTGTGTCCATATATAGTAGGAAGCATCGTCATTACTTTTGTGGTATAAAAAAAATTTAATTTACTGTCTTATTTATTATTTACCTATTTAAGTGGAATATTGATTTAAATTTTCAATCTTTAGCTATAAAAGTTGAACACTTTATACATTTTTAACCAGATTATAATTATTAAATTTTAAATTTGATAAATTTTAGAAAAATTTGAACTTTAAATGCTTATAAAAAAAATTGTGCTTAGTATTTTTAATATTTTTCAACTGCTATTGTAACAGTAAATCAGGAGCCTTGCATTTCATTTTCATGCTATTTATAGATATTTATTGATATTTATAGAACAAAAAACTAACAAAATTGAAAACTGACAATGTCCGTAAACAGCTAAAAAAGAATCAACTTATTTTCAAAATTTTGTCGTGTATAGAAAATACTAATATAAATATTCAGTGAAATTTTCAAGTATTTCCAGTCATTCATTTTTTAATTACAACAAAATATGAAATTCGTTACATGAGAAATCGAGTAAATATCAAATGTTGTAAAAATATTTTTATGAATTTCTAACTCAAAATAATTTGCAAATGTTAGTTATTTTTACTAATTTTGTCAATAATGGAACTTTAAACACTTATAAAAAAAAATTGTGACTATGGATTTCATCTGCCTTTGAAGAAACATACTAGAAGCCTTCTATTAAATTTCCAAGCTTTTTTAAAAAACAATAAACAATTTTATTGATATTGGTAGTAAAAAAAGGTGCTCTGCTGTACAGTAGGTTACAAGTGGGTCACTGTATAATGGATGGTATTAAATTTAAATTCAATGATATAATGTCATTGTATATAAGAAAAACGATTCTGAGAGGTATGTCAGTCTATGTATTAGACATATTGTATATTTATCTATTTTATTAAAAAAAATTGACCAATAATAGGTACCTATAATAAATTCCAAATTAATCATATCACAATAGCCATTATTGTTCTAAGGTTTGTTTTACTCTTAGGTCATTGCTTGGATTACAGATATGGTTGGGAGAAAAGGTATTGTACAGCATGTTTGAAAAAACATCACATTTTTCTTGATCGGATATAACAAGTTTTGCATCAGTGCGAAGAGGGGGAATGGTGTTGGTAGCTTGGTTTAGTAGCCTTTTTGTTGCTTTCCACAAATATGATTCACCCGGTCGCATGTTAGACAGGTAACTATTGTATGAGGCTACACGGTAATTTTGTAAAGCTGCTTGGACTTCTATGGTGAGTAGGTTTAGTATTTTTTTATCTGCAGGGTTCCTATGGTTTTGCCAGGTGCGCCTGGCTAAATGTTTACGACGAATAAGTGAAGATATGGAGTGTGGTAGGATGCCAGGACTGTGTATATTTTGCGGTACGGAGTTAGAACAGGACTGAGCGGCTTCTATTATGACGTCCGTCAGATGATCAGCTGTTTGTTCTGCTATTTGAATGGTAGGTACACATGTTGGTATTTTCAGATTAGATTGTACATGGTTATAGAATCTATTCCAGTCTGGTTAGGTTAGGTTAGGTTAGGTAACCGTATAATGGATGGTATTAAATCTGAATTCAATGATATAATATCATTGTATAAGAAAAACGATTCTGAGAGGAGAAGGTATGTCAGTCTATGTATTAGACATATTATACAGTTATCTATTATATTAAAAAAAATTGACCAATAATAGGTACCTATAATAAATTCAAAATTAATCATATCACAATAGCCATTAGGTACTTATAACTTGTTATACATCAACAACAAACCGTGATATTATCATAGATATATAATAGTACACTTTAGAAGTTTCAAGTACAAACGAATAATATTATAAAATCACAACAAAATAACTAAAATAGTTATTCCAGGTTTTTTATTATGTAATAACATCCATATTGGAACTTAAAATGACTATAAAAATAAACTGTGCTTATGTATTTTTTAGATTTTTTGTTAACAGAAAAACTACTTATGTGGAATCTTGTTTTAAATGTTCAATCCTTAGCTATAAAAGTTGAACATTTTATAAATTATTACCTACAAAATAATTATTAAATTTTAAATTTAATACATTTTGTCAAAATTCGTTCTTTAAACGCTTATAAAAATAACTGTTCATATGTATTTTTAATATTTTTCAACCGATATTGTAACAATATATCAGGAGCCTTGTATTAAATGTTTACACTTTTTGGTAAAACAGATAAACTATATTGATATTTATAGAAAAAATAACTGTAAGAATTTAAAACTGTAAATGTCTGTAAACAGCTCAAAAAGAGTCAAAATATTTTTAAAATTGTATGGTGTATAGGAAATGCTAATATAAACATGCAGTGAAATTTTTATGTATCTACAGTTATTCGTTTTCGAAGTACAACAAAATCAGGCAATCGCAATTCTTAACTGAAATAATTTGCTAAGTTTTGTGATTTTTCCATATTGTGTCAATTTTTGAACATTAAATGTTTATAAAAAAAAATTGTAATTAAAGATTTTTAATATTATTCATCTGCCTTTGAAACAATACGCTATGAGCCTTCTATTTTTTAATTAATTTTTCTTTTGTTTTTCTTGGCGCTTTTGAAAATTACCGGGAATTTTAAATGTTGACCTACCCAATGCACCAACGATTTTCACTTTTCGATCGAACAAGATACTGAAGTTGAAAATCGAAGCAGTTTTTCGACTATTTATCGTGTACACAGACACAAAACTAAAAAAATTATAAAATAATTTTATTGAAATTATTCAAATTCAGAACCCTACCTATGTGGCTATGTTACATAATCATAGTAGTTTCAGACTTTTCAGTGAATTTCAGTCTTCCATCTGTAATTATTATCTATACCTTTATTCAATGAAAAGTAAAAGAGCTGAAATAAAATCATCAAAAATATTATCAACCAAAATATTTGTTTTGTAGTATACTGCCAGCTGAAATATTTGTCGTCTAAAATATCATTCTACTAAAATGCATATTAAATACAATTATTTTCGATTGAAATATGAAATTAGGACAAATTTTTCGGATTTTCATGCGCTTCCTAGATGTATACCTATAGTCTTGAAATTTTAAAAATCAATGTCTAGGTACTGTAATAGTTCTGTTGTACAATTGTAATGATGGCGTAATAATAATCACATTGGTTACCAGGTAACATAATACGGTGTGTCGTAGGGATACATATCTTCGCGGACCTTGCATTTTATCGGGTCAACTCTGACGACGGTTTTGAACTGTTCAGGAGAAAACGCCTCGTCAAATTCTCTTTGTAGGGATGTCTGTAGGTCTAACGCTGAACACCCGTCCGGTTTGCATGTAATATAATATTGTTCAATATTTTGCTTATAAGAAGTATTTTAAAAAATGTGTAGGTACATTATGAAATGCGCAATTGCGGTTTAACACTACTTTTTGAACGTATAACCAATTTTTGATTTTTGATTCTAATTTTTTTTGTGTATCTTAAATTATTATAGAAGACAACCAAAAATTTTCCAACCCAAAAATGTATAATTGTGTATTGACCGAAAAGAATTTTAGCTGTCGGCTATAATATTTCCGGCCAAATATTTATCCGTTAAAAAACCGTCGGCTGAAGTAAAATCATTTAAAATATTGTCAACCAAAATATTTGTCGGGTATAATACTGCCAGCTGAAGTATTTGTCATCTAAACTATCATTTCATTCAACTACATGTCAAAAAAAATTGTTTTCTGCTAAAATTCGATTAGGACACAATATTTTCAGATTTTTAATAATCAGTTTTCATAATATTTATAATGCATGATGAATATTGAATTATAGGTACTGTAAAAAATCTATTGTACAATATTGTAATGATGGTGATTTAATAATCACATTACTTACCAAGTTACAAAATACGCCGTGTTGTAAGGATATATATCTTCTCGGACCCTGCATTTTATCGGGTCTACTCTGACGACGGCTTTGAACTGTGCAGGAGAAAACGCCTCGTCAAATTTGCTTTGTAGGGATGTCTGTAGGTCTAATGCTGAACACTCGTCCGGTATGCATATTCCCAAATTAAAAACGTTTCGTTGCACTTGGTCCTTGTAATCGGCCCACTGAAACGACATAACATATATTTTATGGATTAAATTATATATATGAAAGTTTAAAATGTATATAGTTACTGATTACTGAACTATAATAATTGACAAAGATGGAGATATATATCTACATTAAGTTAAAATCATGTTTATACATTAATCATAGTATCATAATATTATTATACGTATTGTCTACAACAACTTTACTGTAGATTAGGTAACCAAACCATTAAGATTACAGTTGTTATAATTTATAGTGCCCAGGAGAAAAATAGTATACCTTCATAGCATTTTTACCAAAATATTATTTAGTTATAATTTAAAAAAGTTGGAAGTTGCACAATCGCCAATCACTATTTTATGTGTGACCCACATAGTAATTAAAAATAAAATCGGAGAAGGGGAATGTTAAATTATTGAGTTCATTCATAATTGATTGCATACAATAAACTTCTGCTCGGTCAGTCAGCATTATGTAAAAATATGCAAAATGGATTTTCGAATAATACCTAACTGTATAACTAATGTTAACAAGCCGTATTGTAAAAATTTAAAATAAAAGTTGACCTAATCTAATTCATTCTATAATTAGTTGCAATGAATCCACAAAATCCAGGCTACAACACGTTTGGGCATTTTATCCCAAATTGAGACACGTTTGGGCACAAAATCACAACACGTTTGGGCACTCTATATCCCTAAAAAGATACCACGTTTGGGCACTAAAATTTAAAATGTATATACCTTTGTTTAAAAAGTATATAAAGTATATACATACAAGCATAATATATATGTCAAAGTTGCAGTGATTACGCGTGTATCGGGAATCGTCGCTGCGCTCCTCGGCGCTGATCGAAAAACATCCCCAGACTTGCTATTTAACACCACCTTAAGTAGGTTACAAGGTAAGTTATGTCGTAGTATATGGGCAGTGA